TGAAAACATTCACAATTAAGTCAGGCTGGTGTCTGATTGCAGTCTCCCTCTTGAGCTTAGTAATCACCATTCTAGGTGAGCTAAGTTGTACTGCTTACCAGTCTGTAGAATTCGCACATGCACAGTATCGGCTCTTTTTAATTAAGTTTCTTGTTTTATTTGACATTTTGTTTTATTTGGTTTTGTTGCTTTTCTTTTGTTTCCAATATGAGAATGGAACCCAGGGCCTACTTCCCCAGTCCCAATGTTATTGTTTCTAAATTACTAATAAAAGCAATCTGTTCAGTATTGTGTAAGTAGAACATCACAAAACGTGAAATAGTAGCCACAAGGTCTGAACTAGGTATTTGAACAAATCTACTCTTTACCCTATGTAGCACATTACCCACAGGTCCCAACACATGTTAAAAAGCAGGCACCCAATTTTAATCTGTTCCCAGTTTGGCTGGCTGCTCTCTCATGGTCCTGTTTCTAAAACTATGGGATTCTAAGTTATATTACTAAGGAGAACCAGTTCATAAATATACTCAAAATTGCCAGAAATGGAGTTGAAGAGATGCTGAAAAAGATCTGGTCTGATTATAGGAGATGACCTCCCTCTTCCTTACCTTCTACCAACTTCAAACCTTTTCTCCTTAGAAGTCTAAATGCCATCACCAGCTCATACACTGAGGCAAGAGAGAAGCAAAGAGTAAGGTTCTGGGGAGCCCAGCACAAAGGCTAAAGAATTAGCATATAAGAGGAAAGCAGAAATCCTGCCCCAGGTACAACTCTAACTAAATCTGGCTGCAGAACAAAGGCACTCCAGATTGTCTGAAGGGGACTTTTCTTTATTACAGTAGTAAAAATACATGTGTGCTGTAGAAAATTAAGAGGCTAATGAGACAGGAGATTCACGAACCTGTACATAGAACTACTCCAGGGGCCCCTGAAACTATATAGCTTATGGCCATTGCCACTGGTTGCTCACAAAAACTGAATGATCCTATTCCTGAATACACCATACATCTTGGTTGCAGAATACAGAAAAACCATACTGGAACTGAGCTAAAAGCTTCATCGCTGCTGAGTACTAGGAACTTGCTATGCAGGTGGCTCAGGAAGGAGTGAGCAACAGCCTTCCCCAACTTTAGCCCAATACCAACTTGCTAGGCAAGAGGTCCTTACTGGTATAATAGTGGCATGACTGTCATAAGTACAACCAACTGATTTCCGATTTGATCTGAGGCTTCTCCTAATAGGAGAATTCATGCCCAGTACTGTGTACATGGTCAAAAGTCCACAACTGGGGAGGTCATAAGCACTAGGGATGATCCTACTACTGTTGTTTTGGTAACTATACATGTTGTCAAACTGCCTCTCCAATATTTTTGTTTATATCCATAGACTAGTGTTGTTCTCAGCCTTAGTCAAAGAAGCTTCTGTATGCACAGACTGGTTGTTAATGCAGATTCATAGTTCATTAAGATGCTGAGAAAAGTATTTTGAGTGCTCAGCATTAAATATCCCCCTTCCAAAAAGGAAAAAAGAATATAAGAGCCTAAACTATAGGAAGGATGGTCATGAAATGCTCTCTTATGTGCAAGACAAAGCTGTGGACCTCAGGAACTCATAGCAGCTGTGGTTGTCATATATAAGATGGACTTAGTAAGCATACAAGCATTCAGTTGTAGATGGAGAGGGACTCATGGGTCCTCACCCTGCCCAGGAGAGCAAATGGCATTGGAGGGTTATAGGGGGGACAAAAAATTGTTAGTGATATAGTCACTAGTGAGTTACCCCTGCTCCAGCGCATAGCTGTATACCTATGCTCATGTGAGTGGCCCTGGTTAAAGCGTGGGTAACAAAACAAAAACAAAAACAACAAAAACAAGCCAAAAATGCCTGAAAGTGGAATGGAGATTTGGAGGAAGGAGAGTGGAGGTGGGAGGAGAAGAGAGGGCAGGGGATTAATATGACTAGAGTACATTACATACATGTAGGAAAATGCCAAAGAATAAATAACTTTTAAGAACTACATGTCACAGACAGAGCATCAACAAGAGCCCATACTATGCTAATGACCCCCCCAAAACCCTGCCGATTTAACATTGTAGGCCCAACGGTTCCTCCTTTGGAGTTGAGCCTTTTTCTAACAAGCTGTCCCCTCTACCCTGCTTCTGCTGCTATCCACCTATCTCTGTCCAGTTCCTTGCTCTGGGAGACAGGAACTTGGAAGCCTCCTGAGATGCCCATTGAAATCAGATATGAGTCAGTATTACCAGGAACTTAAAAAAAGCACTGATAGTATCTGTCCAAAAAAGGGAGAAAATGTTCACAGCCTGGGCTCACGGTTGACTTTCCAAATGCAGGTACCAACAAATCAGACAATATTCATTTATTTGATTCATTTGACAAGCAAAATTCCCTTTCACCAAGTAATGACCCAGGTACCAGAAATTGTTTAGACTGCATTGTGTGTTGGCTTTGTATCTAGACACTGCATTCCAGTTCACAGTTCTCTGACCATCTGTAGGACTTTTTGGACCTGGCACCCTCTTCCTTACTGAATTCTCTTTCTTAAGCAGCTCATTTACCTCCTGGTTTTACTACTAAGAGACCTTATTCTATCTTATTAGGAGTTGGTAACAGCCCACTTTGACTTTGCAGAATTTACCTGCCAGGTACAAAGTTATAGGTCACATTTCTACTCCAGACTGTAAGGGAAGTACTCCCTTAATTTTCTAAAAAACAGAAAAAATATGTATTGACATACGTCACAAAAGCCATTTCTTCCTTCCTTTAGAGTGAAATTTTATTTCCTCTCTGATCATTAGTGTAAACTAGGGAGTTTAACCCCAAATCAGTTAATACTTTGCTTAGACAATCTGAAATGGAAACCCTGAAAGCACTACTCTGTCTCACCTTCACAAGAAAGAAAAATTCTTATATCTAGTATCTTTCCTGCTCAGACTGGATATGAATATATCTTACAACAGGCATGGGTTAATGAACCACCAAATAAGATAGAAAACCAGTTTGAATACGAAGCCATGCTAGAATGGCACATCTTCCTGAGTGTTAATTCTTTCCTCAAAAGAAAACATATTCTATATTAAAGAAAACCCCAAGATATTAATTAGTAAAATGAAGTATTTGACTTTCTTAAAAATAAAAGCTCAAAACTTCAAAGAAAATTCTCACTTGCAGCAGTCCATAATTTTTGGTTTCCTGCAAATAACCCTCTCGGCTTTAAATATTATTTAAGGAAATATTTGAGAAATTCTTCACTCACACCATGAGCTCATTGAGACTGTGAACTATGTCTTTTCTTGACTTTGTCCACAGGAAGTTGCAACAATGCCCAAGACAGTATTTGGCACAAAGAAGCACTTTAAAAAGTTTGTGGAATGTATCTAGCTGAACAAAAATGACAACAGTGTATTAACAACAAAGCAATTTTTATCAAGTATGGATAGAAGGAAGGAAAAGTAAACAGCTGTGTGAGGGAGTGGAGTACCACAATCCAATTCACCAAAACAGCTATCTGCTGCTATGGTAACAATCAGATGGATCAATTCAGTTTGGTCCTTTCCACTTGAACAAGGCAGAAAGGCAAACATTGTACTTCTTAATCTTACATTAGAAGGAGGTGGGGCTTAGGACTAGTCTATTAGTTTACACTTGTGCTCATTAAATTTTATATCCTCTGATAGAGTATGGAAAGATATGGTGATAATCCACCAGGGCATTAAGTCCCAGTGTATCAACTTATTCTAGAAGGGTCAATATTCAGAGGTTAAGTGTCAAACATCTGCTGTTGAGACTTTATAACGAAAAAGGAGACTGATCATGTATGTATATAAACCTGTATCTAAGAATTGGGCTCTCTCCTACATTCTTAAATTGTTAACCTTTAAAAAATGAAGTGCACTGGAAAGACGACTCAAAGAAAACATACAGACCATAGTAACGTTTAAATTTTTCTTCGGGGGGGGGCACCTTATGCTTTAAAAAAAATCTCCTTTGCAAACAGGAGGGATCATATGTCACACCCAGTTTGTCTACACAACCGATCTTACTCAACAGTGAGTCACTCAAGCTCCATGCCAGTTTTCCTGTTAATTTCAAAATTGGATGGAGAAACCGGGAGGAAGAGGAAGCATGAGCAATCTACAGGCAACTTGACACCTCCCACGACTATTCCTTCCCTTGACACCAAGGGGTTTTGATAACAAGAGCCAGAGGTCAACATATTTTCAGCTAAAATCCAAACAGAAAGCAGAAAAATGTGTTCAGCACTAATGGAAACTGCCAGTGAGAAGTGGAAACGCAGTGAGACCCAAGAGAAACTCCGGTCCTGAAATCGTCCCTGTGGGCGCCCCTGCACCCTTTCCTCCATTGGGAATTAAGCTAATAATGATATTAAATGGTTTGCCTCAGATCCATAAAGTCAAAGAATATATTGTGTGACTGAAATTTCATCTATTGCATAAAAGCAATTCTTCCGTTTAGAAGATCTGGGAAGAAATTCCTGTTTTTAATTTAATGGGCAAGCCTCTTGACAAAAGTTGGTTGAAATTTCTGGGGCTGTTTCTGATTCAGTCAGATAGGCAAACCTACCCCCAAGGTACTCTGCAATAAAACAGGATGAACTGTTGTATTCAGTAACTAATAGCTTCCTTTTTTATTCTTCAGCAAACAACAAAAGCAAAAGTATTACAGGGTATGCCAAACTGGCAAAATGCCCAGGCGCTGGCCTCGGTGTCACCTGGAAGCGTAGGGAGACTGGTCAGGTCTCCTTGAGCCACCCGTGCGCGCTCAGAGTGTGGGAGTCACCCGGCCTTTGCAGGAAGTGAGGCTTTTGGCAAACACCTCTCTCTCTTCACCCCCTGCCACCCAGAACCTCCAGGGGTTCTCTTTCTTTCCAGAAACCTCAGCACCAGCTGGTGAACGGACAACAGCAACTTGGACTGGGTGTTCGGGTGCGAGAGCCCTACTTCAGCGCCCGGCCCACGAACCTGGGGATGAGCCTGGCCTCGTCCCGAAGGCGCGTCACGAAGTCCCGCCAAGCCGGACCCGGGCTCTCAGGCTCCAGCGCGTCCCAAGCTCCCTCGTCCTCCGCCTGGTCTCCAACGCGCGCCCCGCGGAAACCGCGTGCAAACTCCGGGAAGGTGATGGCGCCATCGCGGTCAGCGTCCAGCCGCCGGAACAGTGCCTCGGCATCCGCCTCGGGCACCCGCAACTCCGCGCACAGCGCGCCGAACTCCGCACGCCCTAGGCGCCCGGAGCGGTTCCCATCGCAGGCGGCAAAGACCGCGCGCAATCGCGCCAGCTCCTCGGGGTCCGCATCCGCCTCCATAGTGCCGAGGGTCACCGCGGGACTCTCGGCACCCGGGCGCAGCAGGTAGGGCAGGTCGGGCGGGTTCCTCCACCTGCCCTCTGCGGGGATGTCCGGGTGGGGCGGGGCACTGGCTGAGCAAGGCTGGTCAGACGGCTGCTAGCCCACGCTCCGCCTCCGGCCGCAGTAGCTGTGTTCTCTCACCCGCCGCCACCTGCTGCCTTCCGGCTGTTTGGCTACTACCAGCCAAGGAGCGGACACCCGCCCTGAGCTTCCTTCTGCGACAGCTGACCTGGTCTTTTCGGGTAGGATTTGGGGGACCTAGCAGAACTTGAACTTTGTTCTAGCCTTCCCTCTCCGTGCCCCAGTTTTGGATGATGACTGCATGAGCATGGGGGTGCTAACTCACTGGCAGAAAGGGAAAAGAAAGATGGATGAGGCTAAGATTCCGAAATGGTTAAAGTTATCGGCACTGTATTCTCTTCTAACTTGGTAGCTTTGTGTACATGCAGGGTTCCTTTTTTAAAAAAATCACAGAAAAAAGTACCAGAAGACCCCATTCTCGAATTTTACACGAGTTCACATTGTCACATAGATCTTCCATATCTCCGAATGGAAGTATTTTTTCAGTCCATAGTGACTCCTCAGCCTCAGAGAAAGTTAATACCAAAATCACAGAGGTGGCATTCATTAGAGAAAGAGTTCGGCAATTTTGGTTTTGTTCTTTTTGCCCTGAACAAACCTCATGGGAAATACGTGTACATCTGATTTAAAGCATTTATGTTGAGGATGCTGACCGCTTGACGCATAGATCATCTTTGAAATGATCCATTTTGACTCTCATCTGGCTGAGTGCGGTAATCTCAACAATTGGAATGCTAAAGCAGGAGGATTGCCGTAAGTTCAAGGCCAACCTGGGCTACACAGCAAGACCCTGTCTCAAAACAGTAATAATAGTTACAATGAAGTAAAACCTCTCTTGAGTTTCTAATGTTGGAGACCCTCTGTCATAAAGCTTACCTAAAAGTTTCATTGAATAAATAATATTCATGTCCGGTCAAAACGCATTTGATTGCTGTTTTCTTATGTTAATTTCCTCTACCTTTCAGGCTTTCTTTTATTTACTGCTACTTCTTTTCATTGTGACTCTGTGTATTAGTGTCTTGTTACTATGCCAAAATATCTAACAAAAGAACTTAAGGATGAATTTATTTTGGCTTGCAATTCCTAGGTATACAGTTCCCAGCAGAGAAGGTACAGCAGGAGGTGCCTGGTCATATTACATCAACAGTTTAAAGGAGAGAGAGAGAGAGAGAGAGAGAGAGAGAGAGAGAGAGAGAGAAAGAAGGAGGAGGAGGGGAGAGAGAGGAAGAAGGAGGAGGAAAGGAGAGGGAGAGGAGAGAGAGAGGAGAGGAGAGGAGAGAGAGAGAGAGAGAGAGAGAATAATTCTGCCAGCTCACTTTCTCCTTTTTATTCCATCCTGGTCTCCAACCTATGGAATGGCACAGCCCACATTTAGGATAGTTCTTTCCATGTTAATTAACCAAATCTAAGTAATCCCTCGTAGTCATACTTAAAGGCTTACCTCCTCAGTGTTTCTAGATCCTCAAGTTGACAATCATTGACCATCCCAGGTTTACCCCTTGTCACTTGACATCCAAACATCAATTTGAAGCCATAATATTCTATCCTTTGTCCCTGTAGGTCATGGCTATCTCGTAATACAAAATGCACTCAGTCCAACTTCAAAAGTGCCCACAGTCTTAGCAATTCCAATACTCTTTAATTTAAAAGTCTAAAGTCAGGCTGGAGAGACGGTTCAGCGGTTAAGAACACCGGCTGTTCTTGCAGAAGACCTGGGTTCAAATCCCAGCACCCACATGGAAGCTAATAACTGTCCATAATTCCAGTTCCAGGGGATCCGACAACCTCTTCTGTCCTCCCCAGATATTGCACAACACAGATGCACTTACCTCCATGCAGGCAATACACACATACACATAAAAATAATCAGCAAAATATTAAAAATAAATAAATCAATAAAATAAAAGTCCAAAGTTGAAGTTTCTTGTGAGGCCCAAACAATCTTATAGCTATGAAGTGCTATAAAATAATAGTAATAATTAAAATAAAACATTGTATATTTCCAATATATAATGGCAGAGAGTAAAAAAACATTCCCATTACAAAAGGGAATGATGGCGGTCATATCAAGAGAAATACCAATTCCTATAGCTCCATGACCACCAATCTGGGCTTCAAGTCGTTTGAGTAGCACATACCTCCCACCAGTTCTATTGTCTGCAGCATGCTAAACCTGTCTATTGTGCTGGCTCTACTCTAGGTCTGCAGTTTTCTTCAGGGGATATCCCATTGTCTAAGTGTTAGGTTCCTGGCAGGCTCCTAAAATGGCAGGGCAGCTCACAATATTCTAAAATATTCTAAAATGGTGAGTTTGAACTTAGCTCCAGGCAAGCCCCTCTTCTTCTTGGGAGACCAACCAATCTTGAGCTGAACTCCCCAGACTACATCATAGAAAGTTACTCAACCACCTAACTGCCTATAAAAAAAAAAAGTCTGATGCCCCCTGCTCTCTGCTGTCTCTCTGCAGCTGTTTTCCTGCTCCTCAAGAGGCAGACCAGAGGTCTGTTTGCTCTCAAATAAACTGCTGCCCCCACCACCACCATGGAGTTGCCTGATTGGTGGGTCTTTGACGTACCCTTCCATATACTTAGCATCTCTGACATACTGGTGTTGCTAAAAAGGTTCATCTGGGAGGTGTGTGCAGATTCTGGTCCCTTCCTCCCAATGTCTTTATGACAAACGGAAGCATAATTTCTCTAAACTACAGTTTGGGTAACCAAAGAATTTATTGGACTTCTCTACAGATCAATGGGTAAGGGAGTTACTTAGAAATGTGTGGACTTGTGTGGGCTTTCTTCAGCACTGAGGCCGGGACCCTGTGACCTCCCAGTGGTGGACCCAGATGGCGAAGGACACGCCTCTATCTGGCTTCCCATCCCTATCCTTAGTACCTCCCCCAACTCAGGCCAGCTTGCTGGATGGAAGGCATGAATGACTTGCTCTGTCCCTCTCCTCCTAGGGAGCATCTGTAGTCAAGTTTGTTTGTGGTAATCGAATCAAGCTGGTGAAACTAAGCTTGAGAAGGCAGCATCTATCCATAGTTTTCAGGTCTAGCTTGCCAGGTAGATGATAAGTCCATACAACACCTGGTTTATCCATTGCAATTTAGGCTGCACCTTCACGCCTTCATACAATAACTTGTCAGGGCCCCCTTACAAGGATTCTGAACCTGCAGGAGCTCCTTGGGACTGTGGTGCTTCAGGACTCCCTTAATTCTGCATCTTTCGTGCTCACAAAGCCAGTAGCATATGGATGACACTGTCAGCTTCTGTTGCCAGCTCAGGATGGAGTCTGGACCTTTTAGTCCACAGTTGCCTTGGTCTTTGTGTGGCAAGCTTGGGGAAATACATTCTCGGGTGGTTGTTTTGAGCAAGGAACCTCTTTGGATTGTATTTTCAGTTTAGGCTCTCTTCTTTCAAATGAATTTGCAATTTCCCAGAATACAGCTTTCCATGGGTGGGAGTTTTACCCTCAGCGAACATTTCCTGATGTCTCAGTGCAGATCACCATGCTTCTCTCTAATGACAGAAATCTTTTTCACAATTACAGATGCTTTGTCATCTAAACTGTTCTTGTCCAGAACATTAATACTTTTCTTCTCCAAACTACATTTTTCTTATCATTCTGCTCTACTTTTTACTCTCTCACTAGACCTTGATGAGAGCAGTAAGTAGTAACCATGACATTGTCATGTAAAGTAGTCCATTATATTTAATTTCAACCTCAATCAGGTACTCAGGACACAGGCAGAAGGCAGCCAGATTATTATATGAATGGCCCCTAGACCACTTCCTGATAGAATCTGTTCCCCTCTGAAACCTCATAAACTGGACCTCCACTGTCTGTTTCTCTCTGCATTCTGTACTCTTATGTTCCCACCATAATGCTCTATTAAGCTGTCACTGTATTCAAGGACTTTTCTTGTTCAATATTCCAAAATCTTCCACATTCCTCTTACAAGCCTGTTTCAAAATCCAAAGAAATACATGGTCAGCTTTATTACATCAACAGTACCAATTTTCTGTAGTAATTACTTGCCATAATAAAACACCTGACAAAAGCAACTTAAGGATTTATTTGACTTAAAGGTTTAAGGGGTAGGCATAGCAGCAAGAGCAGGAGGCAGCCAGTCACATTTCATCTGCAGTCAATAAGAGGAGACAGATGAATGCTTGTGCTCAGCTCCCTTTCTCTTTGTCCTGAGAGCAGATTCCAGCCCACAGAATGGTACTACCCACATTTAGGGAGGGTCTTCCTACTTCAATTAATCTAATTTAGATAATCCCTCACAGATAAACCCAGAGGTTTGTCTCTTCAGGGATCTAGATCCTGTCAAGTTAACAATATTAACCATCACATTCTGTATTTCATTTTTCTCTCATGCCAAATTAACCTTACTATTTGTCACATGAATTTTTTAAAAACATGGGAATTGTGTAGGGGAATTTTCAGGTACATACTTTCCAGGCAAGTGTTCTTAAACATAAAGCTCAATGTTAAAACATCTGAGGGCTTATTTCTTCTTGAATTGTTTGCTAAATATGGTCCACACTCACAGAACTGATACAGAGAGAAAAAGTGTTCCCTACAGGTTCTTAGTCTCATTCATTAAAAGAATTTAAGAATGGATTCAAACAGAAGCTTTAGGACAATCTTATTAGAATTTTAAAAAAAAATCTTCAGAGCAGGCAAACTGGTAATCTCATTAGCTGCCTTGAGAAAGAGACTGGAGACAAGGGAAAAAGTCATGAAGTCATGTATGGTTAGAGCCTGCATATAGGTCAGACATGTGGCTGACAAGCAGTCACAGATGGGGAGAAGGAAGCTTTAGAGAAAAAGTAAAGAAATACAGGGTGCTGGGACAGTCTAAAGCATTAGAGAAAGCATGCTTGGAAAAGGGATATGAAGAAGAAAAAGAGAGAGTACACTTTTCTG